TATACTATATTTTCTATATACTATATGCTTACTATTATGCACATTTTAAGTGCTTGACATGTTATCTCACTCAATCCTCCAGCCTTCTAAGGTTGGTTGGTAATAGTATCTCAGTAGTATCTCCATTTTATAAATGAAGAAATTGTGGCCCAGAGAGGTTGAGTAACTTTCTCAATGTCACACAGCTAGTTAAGTGGTAGAGCCAGTATTCCACAGATTCCAGAGATTGCTCTCTCTGATGACCTGGACCACCTCTCAGTATACAGTAAACTGATCATGTTTTTATATTCAAATATCAGTTTCTAATTACTCACATAAAAAATTGCTATTCAAAGTTTTAAAAAGACTGACTTCAAAAAGTCTCATTAGACCAATGAATTACATTGATTTCTTATTAAAAACTATTGTGTGCTTGCTGCAAAAAACGTGCATTTGCATTTATATAAAAACTTTAAATTGGAAAACTGTTGACTTATTAAATTAGTTTAATTGGCAAGTTATTCATTTTATTTTTCTTTTACTATAGAAATTTAATATGTAAAACAAAGTGGCAAAACTTGGTCACAAAGAACCCAACCATGATTCCATTATGTATAAGTTAAAGTGTAATTGTGGCCATTTTTTAAAACCTCTGATTTCTTTTTCTTCTTACATGTTCAAATATAATCACTGAAAAAAAATATATATTTTCAGGGACAGAGCAGAATGGGCTGATATAGATCCAGTGCCGCAGAATGATGGCCCGAATCCAGTGGTCCAGATCATTTACAGTGAAAAGTGTAAGTTTATTTTTTATTAGGGTAAGATCTGTAAATCAAACTTAGTAGTAAAGTTGAAATTCACAACATGTGGCCAGATAGATGACAGATTTTTGTTTAATAAAGATCTAAATGACTTAAAATAAGCTAATATTATGGGGTTTTGTCATTTATTTTCATGATTAAAAGTTTTATTTTCTCCAAAGAATGGACATGTTCTAAGTGTAAGGAATGAATGTTCCATTATAATACATAATACTACTATATGGTTGTGCTTTTTATTTACTATTTAATCTGCACATAAGGTAAAACAAATGATTTACTGTTTGGAATAAACCTTGGTTGTTGAAACATGAGCATTTTGAAATAATATTTTAGCTGTGAAATGTTAGGCTCAGTTGGAATACATTACTGATATTAAAATAAGGGGATTATCTTCCTTGACAAAGTATTCTTTCATAATGAATGTGAAAATGCTTTGTAAATTGAAGGCCATGCGATGTTAATTGTTAGTTGTTCTTCTAGGAAAGGGTAAATGAATAAAATGGAATGCCAGTTTCGTAGTTTTATGTCTCTATATATTTCTTTCAATTAAGTCTCTGTTATCCAAGATCATTCCTCTTTTACAAAAAGCATTTATTGTTTTTTCTGGTTATGAGGTAATGCCAAGAAATGTTTGAAAAGAAGGAATAATGGTGTGAGGGTTTGCCGTACCAAATACGACAATGTCCTACTAAACTTAATGTTAATAACATGTGGAAATGGTGCAGAAATAAATAGATTAATAAAGAATCTAAAATAGATCATTGATATAGGTGGAAACTTAATACTTGATAAAAAGAACACTTTATACCTGTATGAAAAAGATGTATTAATCAAATAATGGTTTTGTAACAGCTGGCTGTGCATTTGGATATAAACAAAATCATATCCCTATCTCATGTCTTACATGAAAACAGATGACATTAAAGTTCTAAAACAAAACTGTAGACATACTAGGAGCAAAGAGAGTAACTTTCACTCTAAGAAGGAATCATTAGGCAAGATCTATAACTCAGAAATGATTAAGGCAAAGGTCAGAAGGTATAACTGCATGAAACTGCAAAAACCTCCAAACTGTGAGAGATGTTTTATGTGAAGAAATAAATTACTAGAAGAAATAGAAATACCTATGAAGAGATGTTAACCTCACTGGTGATCAGAGAATTGAAGGGCACAACTTTTTCAGATTCATAAGGTACTTAGAACAGAGATG